TTAAAATATTTACTGATGAAGATCAAAGAGCACAGCCTTCAGTATGGATTACATCTCAATGTCAAGAAAACAAAAATCCTCACCACTGGACAAATAGCCTGGATAGTAAGATATATATGTTGTTGTTGTTATGTGCTGTGGAGTTGGTTCCGACTCATAGCGACCCTGTACAGGGTTTCTGAGGCTGTAAATCTTTACTGGAGCAGAAAGCCTCATCTTTCTCCCATGGAACCGCTGGTAGTTTCGAACTGCTGACCCTGAGGTTCGCAGCCCGATTCATAACCACTACACTACCAGAGCTCCTTAATATATATACTTAAATTTACCTAACTAAAGGGAAACTTCAGCGAGTACACTAGACCTTAAATGCTGCTGGGAGAGCCTGATCGGATTTTGTTGTTCACTGTTTCCCTAGATCCTAGCATAGTGGTTGTCATCTAGCAGATGCTGAGTATTTGTGAAATTAGTTCATGTTCCAAACCTCTTAAACAGATCTAGCTGCCCTCAAAGAAGATACATGTAACCTGAATCTAGCATTTTGGAAGTTTTTATTCAAATATATTTTTAAAAAATTAGTTGAATTTTAATAATCTCAAAATAAATAGTTTAGGCATTAAACATTCAGACTATGAGAAATACTGACAATAGTTAACTTTAAATGTAATGAAGCTACTTAAAGAAATGGTATTTAATGTTACTATAAATATGCATTTTCACTTGAGAATCATTAATATTTAAATGATTTTTTCCCAATAAGTACATTTGGAAAGTATTCAGTAACATAAATGCAGCATTTGATATCATTAGCTTTGTGATGCAATTACAATGAGATTTTAGAGTTAATTTTGTCTTTTTCTTTCTTTTGTTATTATTCTTGTTACACCTGGCACTTTGTTAGTGGAGAGATTTGTTTTGGGCTGGAAGGAGAGGTTAAAATGGACAGGACTAGTGCCCATGTGGGGGGCACTTTCCAAGACATCAGGTATTCCTTCGACTCAGGTTTAGAGAAACACGATCATTAATGAAACCCCCAAGAAAGGCATAGTGACGGCCAGACAACCTGGGATGGGGGCTCATCTTAGTCAAAGCTGGAGTCCTCAGATAGCAGAGCCTCGATGTTGCTGGTTGGAAATCAACGTCTGTATCTGTGCACAGGCACACCATCGTGTCCCACAAGGGACTTCTCAAGGTTCCAGGCAATGTCGTTGAGGCACACTGGAGACCAGGTGATAAGCTTGGGGTAGGTCTTGAGGGCAGTGGTGTCATTGCTGGGCGCTGGCAAGGACTCCCCCAAGAAGGCAAAGAGTGGGTGAGCTTGTGCGCCCGTTCACCTCGCACATCTAGAAAAGGGAGAAGTTGGGCTCGAACCCACCATTTGGTAGAACGTACTTGAAGGAATTCAGGGTCTCTTAGTTTTTGGTGTTCCCCTGATGCCCAAACTGGTTGCTCGGGAAGCCAAGCACGACCAGGCCCCCGGGGGACCGCGGCACTGCTGCAGATCTTACATCTGGATATCGTCCCAGACGGTGGTGTCTCAGAGAGACGACAGCACGTTCTCCATGAGCAAGCAACACCTTGCCTCACAGTAAGCCCAGGCTCATAGACTCCCTCCCGGCCAGCGCAAAGAAGGCATGCACTCAGTGTGGGGCTACCCCCAAGAAGAGAGCGGCACACATAATGCAAATATCGGAATAGTGGAAAAGGTTTGGGATCCAGCCAAGTGAATTTTCTCTTTTTAAAATGCTACTAAGTAATTTTCCATTTGGTTTTAGTGATAGTTCTACCACAACCCAAATTTTAAATGGGCTATCCTCAACTGTTAAGGAACTCTGGTAGCGTAGTGGTTATGAATCGGGCTGCGAACCACAAGGTCAGCAGTTCGAAACTACCAACTCTTCCGCGGGAGAAAGATGAGGCTTTCTGCTCCCATAAGGATTTACAGCCTCGGAAACCCTGTACAGGGTTGCTATGAGTCGGAACCGACTCCACGGCATATAACAACAACAACAACAACAACAATTCTTAACTGTTAATATGAATGAAGAGTAGAGTTAGGAGTAAAAATTCTTCTCCAGCATTTGTTTCATTAGTTCAAGATTTCAAAACCAAGCTCTTTAGAGCAGAGGCTAATGTAGATAACCAGAATTCTGATTTAGTTCTTGAAACTAGTGAAGATTTATTTCTAACTTCTAGAAATTTGAATGTGCCTCTAATCAGAAAGCCTTCTATTAGCCAGAGAATTGTTAATACATCTGTCCCAATCAAAAGCAGTTTTTCTCCGCCATTATTAACTTCAGCTAGACCATCAGAACAAATAGTAACCGAACAACATACTATTTTAAATCAGCTGACCACTTTTCACATGTACTCACAAAGCAGCTACACACATGCAATTGGCCACATTGTAAATTTTGTTACAACTAAGCTTCTACTTCTCAGTACTTCATCTCTGTCATACAGTTATTTGGGACAGATGGTGAAACCTTGGACTCTCAACTGGGTACTCTGATTTATCAGCCAATGAGACTCCTTTTTCTAACCTGTTAGAAGCAAACAGTCCATGGTAACCAAAGCCTAGGACCCCTGATGGATCTGCCACCCATCTTTCAAGGTTAGCTCATTAGTCCTCTTCAGCATATCAGCATAATGCTAATTACAGTTAATCTTGTAACAAAGGAATTCCAGATTATGCAGGATAAAGCATTATGTTTATAATCCTCAATAAAATACCTGCAATTCTCTTATTTGGAAAATACACTTATGTAGTTCACTTTTGCTATTTCATTTTCCTTATTTTTAAAAACTTTAGTAAAATGGGGTTACTGTTTTTTCAAGGTCACTATATAGTGTTTTACTGACTTGATGACACCTAACAACAACAATAATTGTGTTTTAAATACAACTAGTTTTGTTAATTTGACAAGAACATATAATGTGCCCTTTAAGAACCGAAGTACAACTATTTTGATAACATAGCTATTTGGCTTGGCTAGGATTAAAGCCTTACCACCCCTGGTGCAAGATAAGCACTGGACTGTGAACCAATGATCAGCAGCTCAAACCAACCAGCTGCTCCTCAAAAACCCCATACAGGGTCACTATGAGTAAGAATTGATTCAGTAACACGCAACAACAGAATAAGCCATGGACTGCTAACTGCAAAGTTGGTGGTTCACACCCACCAGCGGCTTTGTGGGAGAATGTTTTCTGCTCATGTAAAGATTTACAGTGTTGGAAACTGGATGTGATCACTGTTGAGTAGGAATCAACTCAAGGCAGTGAGAGAATGAAATATAACCAAGCAATGCCTGGGAATATCTTGTACACTTCTTCCCACAGTCCTTATTTCATAGAGACAATTGGCTTTGTAGTAAAGACTTTCTCATATTAATTGTGCTCATACTATTCCAGGGCATCACACCCAAGATTTTAGTGTAGCACCCCTTTAATCATTTGAAAAAAGAAAGTGAGGAAAACAGAAAAAAGGAGGAAACATGTTAGAGGAAGGAAATAAGTTCACTCATGAGGTAGTCTGGCTGGGATTCATCAAATGAGGGTCTAAATTATGAAAGCATCAAGTAGAGAACAGATGCAAGGATCAAGGATAAATGATAAATGTACCTTTGGTATTTCTTCAATTACATTGCATTCTCCCCATTATGTTAAAGATACAGTTCCTCAAATTTGGGAGGCATAAGTAATGTATACTTATTCAACCTATATACTGAGCAAATAATCCGAGAAGCTGGATTCTATAAAGAAAAATGTGGCATCATGATTGGAAGAAGACTCATTAACAACCTGCGATATGCAGATGGTACAACCTTGCTTGCTGAAAGTGAAGAGGACTTAAAACATTTACTGATGAAGATCAAAGAGCACAGCCTTCGGTATGGATTGCATCTCAATATAAAGAAAATAAAAATCCTCACCACTCGACCAATAAACAACATTCTTACTAATGGAGAAAAGATTGAAGTTGTCAAGTCAATGGAGAAAAGATTGAAGTTGTCAAGGACTTCATTCTTCTTGGATCAACTATCAATACTCATGGAAGCAGCAGTCAAGAAATCAAACAATGTATTGCATTAAGCAAATCAGCTCCACAAGACCTCTTTAAAGTGTTGAAGAGCAAAGATGTCAGCTTGAGGACTAAGGTGCGCCTGACCCAAGTCAGGATATTTTCAATAACCTCATATGCATGTGAAAGCTGCACAGTGAATCAGGAAGACTGTAGAAGAATTGATACATTTGAGTTACGGTGTTGGAGGAGAATATTGAACGTGCCATGGGCTGCCAAAAGAACAAACATCTGGAAGAAGTGCAGCCCGAGTGCTCCTTGGAGGCCAAGATGGCCAAACTTCGTCTGTCCTACTTTGGACATATGTCAGGAGGGACCAGTCACTGGAGAAGGACATCATGTTTGGTAAGGTGGAGGGTCAGAGAAAAAGAGGAAGACCCCCCAGTGAGATGGATTGACAAAATGGTAGCATCAATGGGCTCAAGCATGGCAACAATTGTGAGGTTGGCCCAGGACTGGGCTGTGTATCTTTCTGTTATGCATAGGGTTGTTATGAGTCAGTACCGACTGGATGGCACCTAACAACAACAACAAGTAATGTTTAATAAGTACATTTCATATTTGAAAGCATCCTGGTGTGTGCTATTAGATAAGCACTGGTCTGGTTACCACAAAGTCAGCAGTTCACACACACCAGCTGCTCTTTGGAAACCCTCCACAGGGTTGTTGAGTCAGAACAAACTCACTGGCCCCTAACATAGTATATTTTAGCCAATCCAGTAACACTAATCACCATTACTTATGTCACCACTGGAATTATAAAGACCACACAACATAATCTAAACTATATCAACATCAGCATCAGATGAAATTTTACAACTAATATTAGTAAAGGCACTATATATTTGCTTTAATGTCATCCAAGCATTCCAGTTGACTTGTAAACTTAATTGCACTCACTAGCCCACCCTGTTTATTTTCTAATGCACACTTTTCATGCCACATATTTCTTGCTGTTAAGTGCCTTTGATTCAGTTCCGATTCATAGTGACCCTGTACAAGGTTTCTGAGGAGCCGCTGGTGGCCTTAAACCACCAGCAGTGGTTGTGGTTCACAGTGCAGTACTGATTCTGTAGCGCCACATCAGGAGTCCTCATATGGACAGCCTTAACTCCTTATCCTGGCATATAATTATTGTTAGATTCTGGACCCACATACTCAGCAAGGCCTGACAAGTCCTTTCAAAATTTGGCATATGTTCATCTTTGTAGTGTTTTACCTGTCTGAAAATCCACCTGACAAACTACTTTTAGCCATACTCATTCTCATCTCCTAACGTTTGCCCTAGCTCTTTGCTTACTTATCTTGTATGTCTAAGTGCAGGTATCATCTTTCCCAGGAACTATTTCCTGTTTAAGAAGCTCTAGTAACGTAGTAGTTACGAATTGGGCTGCGAACTTCAAGGTCAGCAGTTCGAAACTACCAGCTGTTCCACTGGAGAAAGATGAGGCATTCTGCTCCCGTAAAGATTTACAGCCTTGGAAACCCTGTACAGGGTCGCTATGAGTCAGAACCGACTCCACGGCACATAACCACCACCATTTCCTGTTTACTCCTATAGTTTGTCAGGCATTCTACACTGACCAGGGACACAACAAATGTCCCAGGACCAACCATCACTTTTCATAGTAAACTTTTGTTTTCATAGTACATGGACTAAATTTCCAGCAACAGTGATCATTTGATCCAGTTGGTGGTGCTGCATTTAGAAGACTACAAATGTATTATTCATTCTGTCCTGTACTTGTCAAGATCATGTGGCTCTCTGCCAATATAGTTACTGTGCTTCACCCCAGTACCCTAACGTCATTCCTTCTCTATACAAACTTACACTCAAAACTTTTTTTGACCAGAGTGAAATCCTAAATTTTCACAAAAAGTCTGTGTACCTCAGACGAGCCCTCCTCCTTTTGTTTGCATTCAGTAGTCACCTGCTAAAGCATGTGGATTAGAAGGTGATAAGGGTAGTTAGAAATCTACTCAAAGCTCAACAATATCAGATGCCTGTAGATGCTGGGGAGCCGGGAATGTGTCCATCAAATAATTTGACATTCTACCATTACTTTGTGGTAAATCGATGTACCACTGTGGAGTTGCAAATGCCTTAAAAACACTGCAGTCAAGGGCATGGAAAGGAGGTTTCTGACTCACAGTAGTGTGGCCAATCAGATGATCATGCTTAACAGCAAAACTGGAACCTGAAAAAGTATGACTTATAAAAAGGTGCTAGTGATAGTCTTGACAAGAGGTCAAAGGTTCAGGAAGACAGAGAAGTATCCCATTTGCCAAGAGCTAAAATGACCAACTTTGAGTAGGACTCACAAGAATGGCATGCAGTGGCACTTTCTGCATTAGAAACATAGTCTTTTCATTGTGAGCCCAACTTTTGATAGCATTGTTTGGATTTATAGTGGCTTCATCCATAAGGTATCCTGGTAGCATAGTAGATAACTAGCTGGGCTGCTAACCACAAGGTTAGTAGCTCAACACTACCAATTGCTTCATGGGAGAAAGATGATGCTTTCTGCTCCCATAGATTTACGGCCTTGAACCCCTATACAGGGTTGCTATGAGTGTGAACCAACTCCACAGCATAGTACCACCACCATATCCACAGACACCTTCAGAGTTCACACAGTTCAATTAGTAGGCATAATTTGTTTTCACAACTAAAAGAAATTGTCCAGTATGTGCTTTCCACTGATGTCCTGGTGTGGTGCTGTAGGATAAACACTGGTCTGCTAATCCCAACATCAGCAGTTCAAACCCACAGGCCGTTTGAAAACACTCAACAGGGTCGCGATGAGTCGGAATCAACAGCACTTAAGAGCAACATTTTCCCACCAGGCAGATCTAAAAGCTCTGAAACTGACACTGTAGTGAATAAGTAGTGTCCTTACTGAAATTTTACAGCTATTGACAAATCTTCATGTTGCAAAATGCACAGCTGGTTTTCAAAACATGATCTCCTTGACATTTCTGGGGACACATGGAGTCAAAGTTATTTCCAAAATACTAAACTGCTGTTTCCCCTGTATTGTTTGCACTAATGACTTTGAGATTGCTGATCCCCTACCAAGCATGGATCAAGGTAGTTGCACTAGGCTTTCTGCTCTCATAAAATATTTATAGTTTCAAAAACCCTCTACAGGGTCCCTATGGTCAAAACTGACGATGCACAAAGCATGACATAATTTTCACCTCCATACACTCTAAAAATAAGTGAATAAAGAAACTCAAGTTTCACCTAAAGGATGCTGTTGGTGAAGCAGTGAAAATTACTGTTTTTGTAAACTCATTTAATTTAGTTCAGGAGGGCGTGTCTTTTCCTTTTAAGACTCGGGGGTTCCCTGAATGTTTATTTTCTCAGCCAGACACAAATGTCATATGTTTCTGTGCTCAGTTTTGCAGTGTTATTGTCCTGACTCTGCCCGTGGACAGGGGGATTCCATGTGTGAGGGGAGGGAAGAAGGAAAAAGAGATTTATCTCTTGGTGAGTAAAAAGAGTACAGGTAAGTCCCATAAGTCCCACTATTGCCCACAGTAAAGACACTATATTCAGAAATCTGAACCCATTGGTTTACTTGACCAGAGAAAAGCTACCCAACTGCTCTGTTTTGCTGTCAAATGCCCATTCCCCTGGGCAGGGAAATCCAAGGTTTATTACCATTGCCAATGTCAAAAATGTTGGAAAGCCTTGTGGCAAAGCCGTTGCCAATGGCATCCTTCACATGCACAACATCAAAAGAACCAGGGTGTCTTTCTGTGTTGGTGATCACACCAACTTGGCCGAGATTGGCTCCACTGATCACCGTCCACGCATTACCTGTGTCAAAGTTGATGAAGTTGGTTTCTTCCCAGTTCCGAAATTAATCTTGATGATGTCATTCACCTTGATGAAAGGATCTGGGTAATGAAGGGTTCACGCATCATGAGTCACAAGGTGTGAGATTCCCTTTGTATCAACAAGTATCTTTCTCTCTTTTACAGCTTGTACTTTGCCTCTTCAGCTCTAATGCAATGAACAGCAAAATGGCCTTTGTAATCATAGATCAGGTGGAAATGCTCACCTGTCTTCTCAATGCTGATGACATCCATGAGCCCAGCAAGGTATGTGATGCCTGTTTGAATCTTGCCATCGATTCTGATGAAGCGCTGCATACAAATTTTTCTTACCTCATTTCCAGTCAAAACTTACTCGAATCTATTCCTGAGGAAGATTATGAGGGGGAGACATTCTCTCAGCTTGTGGGGACCTGTCAATGGGTGAGGTGTCTCTGAGAGCAAAGGAATCCACCGGATAGCCTTCTGAACATCCATTAGAGCTGCTTTCATCACCAGAATGCCAGGATACAGAATACTGACTTTTTGTGGGTGTGTTTATCCCTGCAGCTACATGAGAAAAACACCTGTTAGTTTGTGGAGCATCCAATGCTTAGGCACCATAAAATGCTTTAAGTGTTTCTTGGGGCCCCAGGCCATGGCAAAACGCTGTGATAGAAAAGAACTTCTACCCTTTACAGTGCTTCAAATACATTTTTAAATGACTCGATTTTTCAAGGTACATAATGCTTTTTCTCAAACACCTCAGCTGTAAAAATATCTTTACTTTGTGCAAATGTGCAAAATATCTAGACAATCTTGAGTTTTCTGTAGTGTTGGATCCTGTTCAGTGTCATTGCATTTTGTTCTTGTTAGGTGTTGTTGAATTGATTCTGACTCATAACAACCCTGTATAGGGCTTCTGAGGATGCAAATCTTTACCAGAGCATAAAGTCTCATCTTTCCCCTGAGGAGTAGCTGTTGAGTTTGAATTGCCATCCTTGTGGTTAACAGTCTAGTGTTTATCCTACAGTGCTATCCATGCTCCTTTGGTTATGGCATATGCTTGATCAAACTTATCAAGGTGATATTTCTAGAGTAGGAAAATCAATCCTGTAACTATCTGAAACAAAAGACTGTTGCTGTATATATATTGTTGTTGTTAAGTTCTGTCTAGTCGGTTCTGACTCATAGTAACTGGTAAGTTTGAACCACCAGCCTTGCAGTTCAAACTGACCTTGTGGTCTAGTGCTTACCCTACAATGCCACACCAGAACTCCAAATATGTATAGTATGATTATTATTATTATTATTTTTTAAAAAGGGACTTCAAATTAACATGTTGCTAAGGAAAGAACTGGAGGAAGACTCATAAATGACCTGCATGCGAAATGCAGATGATACAAACTTGCTTGGTGAAAGTGAAGAGGACTTAAAATACTTACTGGTGAAGATCAAAGACCACAACCTTTGGTATGGCTTGCATCTCAATGTAAAGATAACAATAAACAACATCCATATAAATGGAGAAAAGGTTGAAGTTGTCAAATACTTCATTTTTCTTGTATCAAACATCAACATTCATGGAAGCAGCAGTGAAGAAATTAAACAACGTATCGCAATGGGCAAAACTGTTGCACAAGACCTCTTAAAGTGTTGAAGAGCAAAGATGTCAGTTAGAGAAATAAGGTGTGCCTGACCAAGCCAAGGTATTTTCAATAACCTCATATGCACATGAAAGTTGTACAGTGAATAAGGAAGACCATAGAAGAATTGATGTATTTGAGTTATGGTGTTGGAGAATATTAAAAGTACCATGGACTGCCAAAAAAACAAACACATCTGTGTTGGAAGAAGTACAGCTAGAATGCTCCTTATAAGCCAGGATGGCCAAACTTCATCTCTCATACTTAGGACATATTATCAGGAGGGACCACTCTGTGGAGAAGAAAATCATGTTTGGTAAAGTGAAGGGTTGGAGAAAAAGAGGACGACCCCCAAGGAAATGGATTTGCAGTGCCAACAGCAATGAGCTCAAACATAGCAACACTTGTGAGGTTGGCATAGGACCTGGTAGTGTTTTGCTGTGTTGTACATAGGGTTGCTTTGAGTTAGTACCAACTCAATGGCACCTAACGACCACAACAACAACAAGGAAAGAAAACATGATCACAAATTTCACAATGGTTGTTAAGTGCTGTTGAGTTGATTCCAACTTCTAGCAACCCTGTACAGGACTTCAGAGGAATGGCTGGTATGTTTGAACCACCGACCTTGTGCATATCCTACAGTCCAGTACCTGTCCTACGGTGCCACACCAGGACAGTCATAGAATAATAGTTAATTACACATTAGTAAAGGATGTACATAGTGAATATGTTGTTGATGGCAAGTATCTTCATCCATTTCATTTCAACATGAGAATGGTAGAATTACCTTACTTTTAAAGTATTTTCTACAATTTTGCAAAGGCACAAAATTCAGGAGTTCAAAGTAACAACAAAAATCAAATCTACATTTGGAAGACAGTGAAAATAAGTAAGAAGTCTATTCATAAATACCTTTATCCTTATTATTCATTTATCAGTCCAGAGGATAATGAATGGTCAGCCTTCTCATACAGATCATTTTCCATGGGTCACTTCTTGGACTAAATATAAGTTATTTGAACACAAGGATTTCTTTAACAATATGTGAAAGAAATACACTTATCTTAAAGTTTGCCTCATTTCTATTTCTTATAGTGTTTCAGTTTATTATTTAACAGGATTTGTAAAGGTGTAAGTGAGTCTATTCAAGAAGGAACACCCAAAGAGAAAGTTTTGTCACTAAATGTGTTTTCAACAATCATTGATCGCTGATTCTGCTGAAGCATGTAGTTAAAGATTAAATTAATAAATCGGTTCTGATGAGCTGAAATGGAATAAAATATAATTTCATATTTCCAAGAAAGCTGTCTTTCCTCATTTCCTTTCAACTCTGTTGTATATGAATAAACCCTTCTCTATCTTTATTTCAAGGAGCTCTTGTAGCCTAGTGGTTAGGAGTCGGGCTGCTAACCTCAAGGTCAGCAGTTCGAAGCTACCAGTTTCCATGGGAGAAAGATGAGGCTTTCTGCTTCCACAAAGATTTGCAGCCTCAGAAATCCTGTGCAGAGTAGCTATGAGTCGGAACTAACTCCACAGTGCTTAACAAAATAACATCCTTCGTTTCATGTGTCATTAGCAGTCCTTTTTTTTTTTTTTATCTTCAGAAGTTAATACTGGAATTTGAAGACTGGGAAATAAAAAAGATTTATTTTATAACTCTCAGGAACTTCCCCAGTGCTCCTATTTGTACTTCAGGCTTTGGACACTGTGTTTAGATAAATTACAGCCAGATGACGGAAAGTGGAGTTACCATGCTAGCCAAGATGTGATGTTCAGTTTTAAATACTGAGTAAGTCATATTATGAAATTTATTAAGTTCTTTAAAGAAAAGGCCTGATCTATGTCTTCCCTGAAACTTCTTACAGTTTCTTTTCTATAAATGAAAGAGATTCCACTCATTGTTCTTTTATATTTGAATTAACACTGACCTGAGAGGAGACGTGAAGCTCCATGCTTAAAAAGCGGTAGGTTTTTTTCCAATAATAACAGCCAACACAGAGACTACATTGAATTTAATTGCAATCTTTAATGAATCTTCCATTAATTAATTAATTAAAATGATGGAAACACATTTTTAATTCTAATTTGTGATTACAGAAAAAGTATGTATTTACTACTTCAAAACCTTTATATTATCTAGTAAAGTTGGGAATTTGTTCTAGTGACTCCACAGAGTTTGCAGTGAAACATGTCGTATGCTCTGGGAGTAAGCAATCCAGTTCCAAAGTCTTCTCAAATAGTCCATAGGTTGAGGTGACATGTTGCGTATAAGTAGGTATGTGCTACTGACGGCTATCAGTGTTCCAAAGAAAAAGAATCCTTTGTTTATTACCTGTAAAGACAGTAAGAACTCTCATTTCAATTGTTGTGAGATTCAAATCTTGAAATAGGTTTCTTTTATAAATTACTAAGGATTATACATGGTCTCTTTGGTTTTCACCTGGAATAGACATTTCATTCCATGATCGCCAGGTAAAGTCCTGCAATAGTGATAAGGACAAAATTGGAGCTGTGCTTTCCTCTCTCAAGAAAACCACAAGTCTTTTCCTATAAGGAATTCTTAGTAGTCAGCTTTTATACTCGAGAAACCAACACCATTGCCATCAAGTGGATTCTGACTCACAGGTTTCTGAGGCTGTAAATCTTATGGGAGTAAAATGGCTCATCTTTTTCCTGCAGAGCAGCTGATGGGTTTGAACTTCTGCATTATCCTACAGTGATGCCAAGGCACCTTGGTTTTTTTAGTCATTAAAGATAAAAACAGCTGGCTGGTCTGAAGTTTAGGGAGACGTGAACTCCTGAGCCCATGGACACTGACCTAGCCAGGTAGAGTTGAGAGTGAAGTGGTCAGCAGGTCTGAAGTGGGGAGAGGTGTGAAACAACTCCCAAATTTACAGAAAGTGCCCATTTGACCTAGCTTGAATAATTCGCTGACCAGAGCTCGACTAGAGGAAGATAAAGAAGTTTGATACAGGGAGCAAGCATAAATTGCTACAGTTTGATGAACTGAACCTTTGCTTATGGATATAGTTGTTCAAAATTTTAATTGAGAGGGAAGGATTCTTCATATCAAGGATCAAGCTTGCCTCCTTAGTTCACTGGGTTGATAGGGATGGGTAACTTATGCATTGGCTATAAAAAGTATGGGGCTTAGTTTCAGACCGAGGTGGGTCAGGTAGAATCTCCATTGAATAGTTTTCCTCTTGCTCCACATAGGTCTGGTGAAAAGGGATGGGAGACGATGATGATAGAATTTTATGATTCAGTTGTGAGTAACTGTTATCATGACTAATTGCAATTGTCACAATTGTACATGTAGAAGATGTGAAACTGAAAGGAGGGAGCAGGAAATCTTTCATTTAAGGAGCAGAGGACCCTAAGACCATCAAGAGGGAAGAGCATGAGTGGAGCATGAGATCCTAACTGGAAAAGTGGTGACAAAAGAGAAGGAGGCAGAGGCAATGGCATAGAGACATAGAGCAGTAGAGGACTCCAGGCCCATTGACTAAGAAAGTCAGTGTACCTGTGGGCAGGAGGCTAACTTACAAAATGTGCCCTTTGAACATTTAATGACTATATATTGTGTGGAATGTATACATAAAAAAGAGAGAGAGAATAGAGGTAAATACTGTCAACTGATGGTGCGTGTGTGGCAGGGATTGTAATCATTACAATGAAACAAAATATGATTTGTTGAATGTAAAACTGATGATCTGCCTTGTAAACTTTCACTCAATTCACAATAAAAGCTTTAAAATAAATAAAAGCAAAAAACAGAAACCCAATTTAGACAGCTTTGAGCCCTTTCTCCAGAAAGCACAATTTGGAAGCCATAAATGAGTCAGTCACTTCTCAGAAATGGTGCAAACTGTTCATAAGAACTTGCTGGGCTGGGTGACCTCTGTAACACAGAAGATACAATTACCTTAAAATGTTATGCAGGATGTCTTTAACACCAAGAGAACATGGCCCGCACATCTCGAGCAAGGCCTTTTCTAGTCTTGGTTAGGTGTGCCTGTATCATCCTGTCCCATTTCTAACACTGCATTCATTGACATTCTAATCATGTGTCATTGCCTAAGGACAGAGACCCTATTGTTTTCACCTCTAGAGGAATAAATCTTGACTCCTTCCAATGTAGTGTCAGTTCAAACCCACCAGCCTCTTGGAAACCCTAAACACAGTCCATATGAGTTGGAATTGACCTGACAGCACTTAACATCAACAACAACCTTCGAATTCATTCTCCACACAGCAAAGTAATCTTTCAAAAATCCAAACCTGTGTCTATCATCCTGCCCCAATCTCGCCTTACTTGCAAAGTAACTAACATGCAGGACCTGTGAGGCCTTGCTAACCTTTCTTGTCATACTCACATGTAAGTGCTACATTCGGGCCCCACTGAAGAGCATGTTGCTGGCTTTCCTTCAACCATTACCTGTGTTTACCTACTATCATTCCCCTCAGAAACCATTTGGCCATCCACTGTAGTTGTTCATCTCTTAAACTAGTCCTTGAACTATTTGAAAGGGAGGAACAGAGTCTTGTTCATCACCATGCCTAACTCATTGCCTATGCAGTAAAGAAAACTGTTTATTGAATGAATTAAATCTGCAAAATTTCTAAAATGGAAAATCGAGTATGAAAGTCTATAAAATGGTATCTCTGGGTCAGCTGCCAAAAATGAATGTGGCATAATATTACATTGGAATTTATTGTGTTTCTACGTGATTGCATTCTGAATAATTTTAAACCTGTAATAATGTTGCATAAAACAAATATATAAAGGAAAACATTTAGTAATATTAGCGTCAGTTTCTCTTCGGAATTGCTTCCTTCTCAAGCTTCCCCCTACACTTTGCATCTTTAACACTATTCATTCTGGCACCCAATTCTCTATATACCTCAGGCATTTTTTATTTGAAAGGCAAACATGCGGTGTGTGGCAAACCATTTCTGTATTTGCCTAAAATCAACATACCCATAATACTATGACACACAAATATATCAGATTCAAAAAGGCAAAGTGTAATCGGTTCCAACCTTTTTTTGCCAATGCCACCTCAGAACAGCTTCATGGTATCTTATTCTGGAAAAGGTGATCTATAGGGAAGTTTAAGAAGTATTTTTATTAATTTTTTTAATGTTTAAATGGAAGATTACAGTGAGGAACATTCTGAAAGCCAGCTCTTACCATTGTATAGAGAGGAATAAATGTAGATGGCATCACAGCATGAAGACATCTTTCTATGTTCTTTTGGAAGATGAACCACCCTGAGTTGACATGTGCTCGCATCTGTAATAATATAAGATTCTTAATACCTCAAACAAACTGCCTTTTTCCCTTTACTAGCATGTATTTTTCTATATTCCTATTCATCACCATTAGTCAAATAAATTCTTATTTCTATAACAGTCATTCCCAGTCCCTTTTAGTAGTAAATGGTAATAGTAGAGAACATTACCTTAAAAATGAACAACTGCACACACAATCTATAAGGAAGGTTATTTTGCTGAGGGATCAATATGGGAACTCTTCCAGCAAAGGATTTGTTCAACCAGATCTTCAGATAATGTGTGAGTCCAAAGATGTGAGAAGTTTCTGTTGCTTCCTGGTTGGTTTAGAGTATTATTATGGCTGCAGGAGATCTGCTTAAAGCTATGCCTGGGTTGACTTACTTCAAATTCAGGACAAATATTGAGCAAGAGACAGCAATAAAATCCTTCAGAGTTTTAAAATAGAACTTCCGTCACCACATAGGGTGCAATTCTGTTTAAGTTGAGGTCTATATCTTTCATATTCAGGAAAGATGGAAAGCCACTCTCTTCCTTAAATTCACCTTGTAAACTTCTTCACTCAGTTAAAACTACAACCACAAACAACTATTGTGACTTTTTTATGTGTTTTACCCAAAAATGAATTTAACATGTTTTATTCAACGTAGTAATAATTCTAGACATGATCTGGTTTTTTTTTTCCTCCCTAAGCACTGACTACTAACACAGTCAGCAGTTTAAACAACAAACCACCTGTCATTCCTCAGAAACTCTATACAGGGTGGTTATGAGTCAGAACTGACTTGAGGACACAAGTCCCAGTGGGTATTTAGTGCTACTCTAAATATACAGCGTATAATGTTAAGAGTGAAAAGGTCATTTAAATAGTTTTTAACTTTTTAGATATATTAACACATTTCAGAGTTACATTTTCA